AAAAAGGAAGTGATCCTACCAGCCAAAAGTTTTCCAGCGAGTGAGAAAAACAGCCTGGCTCGGCTGCCCTCTCCCCGGGTAACAGGATTGCTGACAGTTCGGGTCCACGTGACGGCCTAGAAAAGAGGCTCAGGCTGATGAAAACCGAAGAAATCTTCTTCGGAGTTTTCCTTTCTGAATGTCAATGGCTGAGTCAGTGCGTTGCTGAGCGGGGAAGGAAGTCACAGTCACACAGAGTGACTCATTCAACGCTGTTCGCTCAGGCAGACGGATAAAAAGTTTTAGCGAAAGCAGTAACAATCTCCTTTAAATACTAGCACAGTAAGGAAATTCTTCTCTTTCAGGCTGAATGCCATCCACACAAAAGAGCTCCTGTTGACATCTCATTTACAATCTCCCCCAGGACACAGACAAGACCATTTCAATAAACCCAGCTCAGAAACACCTATTGTTCAAAATCTTCAACTAGCAACAGGCTACCACCACTCCCTATTGTTTTGTAAAATAAAAGATTTAGAAGGGGAAGGATTGGGGCTGTGGAAGCTCTGAAAAGAGGTAGGGGAAAAAGTCCCTTTGACTCGAGGCTGTCAGAGTGCACAGGAAGAATAAAGTTGATGAATTTCCATTTTCATAAGAAGTGCATAGGAATGCCCGTTAAGCTTCTGAACTAGTGATTGGGAATTCTAAATTTGATGCCAACTTTGTGTGTAAAGAAGCTAATTCCTGCCAACTTGTTTGCGAAGTGGAAAGCCGGAGACTGTACTCACCCTCTTCTCAGCCTTACAGAAGCCCAGATAGCAGCACAAGCAAACGCACCAGGTGAGTCTTTGATCTCGGCTGTTGCCCTGGGATTTATAGCCTGACCTTCTTTCCAAGCAGGATTTTTTCTGGCTCAGAGCTCACTCCCCTGCATTAATGATTTTCTCCTTTGCCTGAACACTGCTTTGCTCCCCCTTTTAGTAAAACTTCAACACTTTCTGGAGTCGTATAATGTAGTCCTAAAACGGCTTTTCTTCAGATAATGTTCCACATTAACGGGATACGTTTGATTTACCAAAAAGGGTGGCAGAGCGTTTCTCAAATCTTTACCCCTCTAATAGAAGTTATGGGTATCTTTACCCCTCGACTATCTTTACCCACAGAAGAGATCTTACAGTTAACGGGTTCCTCATTTCAGCCAGTGACTCCTTTATCCATCCAGAGTTCAAACCCACACTGCGGGCATCATCTCTCTCTTTGGCTCTTGAATCCCCTGGGAATCATCCCACACCCTACAATACACCTGTCTGCTTTCCTAGATCCTATTAGCTCCTTTCTGGAGGATCACAGCAACTAACTGACTCCCGATTCCTCGAACTACCGGTTGTGACTTGTTAATGGGACATGAAATCCATTTTTGAAAATGAAACAGCTTGAGAAGTGTCAGAGTGCACCAAACAAAGGAACAGTAAGTATTGTTTTGTGAAATGTGTTTCAGTTTGTGTGTTCAGATCTGAGTACATTCTGGGCAACAGGTAAAATGTATTTCGTTAAAATATTTTGAGAAATACTTTAATTGGTCTCTCAGGGTCTGTCTTGTCTCTGCTTCCACACTGCTGTACACGCTTAAAGCAAGAGTGGAGAGTGGAAGATCCTGGACAGATCCTGTCACTCCTGCGGACGGGTCTGCCTTCAGGATAAGTGCTGACTCGAGGGCTTTAAAGATTCCAAAGAACTTGGTTCCCCACGCACCTTCGAGGTCTCAGAACTCTACATCCTCCTGCCCACTCTTACTTTTAGTTATTAAAACCATTAAGTTCCCTGGTCTTTGCAGATGGAATTTCCCCTTTAGGGACATGCTTTCCTCCTCTTTCCCCTTCAGGTATCGTAGGGGTCACCTCTGCCAGGATGACTTCTGGAATGTTCTAAATGACTCCCCCAGTTCTTATTAGAACACTGTACTTTTTATCTGACAAAGCACTTAGTACATTATAACTATCTTCTCAATTCCCTATTATTTAAGCTCCAAGTGGGCATTCAGTAAATATTGTGTAAATATTTGCATCGAATGTTTCACATAGCTCAACATTTCCTTTCTACATACCAATTTGAATAGTTTATTGTAAAGTATCATCTCCATTTTTCAAAGCTTTTGTGTTCATTTTTTTACACTTCAATATCTCCTGTTCATTTGCTTTTCAAACACTGATTAATGTGAAAATTAACTGGACTTTTGAAAATCAAAGTAATAAAATTTGGAGAAAACGGTTCAACTTTTGCCTGGTCATTCACCCTCCTGAAACTCAGATCCTCCACACATTAAAAGGAGGGACAGAATTCCGTAATCTGTGGTCTCTCTTCCAGTTTGCTACTCTGAACCTCCAGCTTCAACATTCTCCTTTTATGGACTAGAGAGGTTACGTGATTTTTCCCAAGGCCAAACAACTTTTTTGTGGCAGAATATAGTTTGTCTTTCTGTAGAATTTTAACAGTAAGCAGCACACAAAAAACAAAAACTTTACCCGGCAATTAATAGTGCCACTAAGTTTGTATGAAAGAGAATCATAAAATTAAAGAAAAAAGGGACTTCAAGAAAAAAAAGCCATCTACAATGGATTCCTGCCTAAGCAGGTCTTAACATTTTTTAAAGTCTTGCTATTATTTTCTATTAGATGGAGAGATGTTCAGATTTCCTTCCTTAAATTGGAAGTGAAGAACTAGGAATTCTGTGCCCTGATCCTTTGTAGTGGGCATTCCACGGAGACACAGCAGACACACACAGCCTTCCTGAAGGTGCCAAGAGCATCCTACGGCCTTTCTTAGTGCTGAGGCCTTGGTGCCTTGACCCAAAAGCCACATCGCATCAGGATGAGATTTCATGTCAGTTCTGGCAACCCCTCCCCTCCTTCCCAGCCTGAGTCCCATTGAAGTCTCTACTTCTGCTCCACTTGCTTTATTTACTATGGAGTTTGGGTTTCAATAACCTGCTCTATAAATCAGAAAGTCAACGGAAATACACGCCCTTAGGGAAAAAAGAAACAACGACATTACTTGTATTTGTCCTAATGTGATATGCTGCACTCCTTGACCATCTAAGTCGGTGTGCCCATTGGTTGTTTTTTTCCCTCTAAACTGACCAGCAGCAGCTTTGTTTGACAGAAAATGATGGTAGGTAGACCTTGACTTTGAAATGCATTCTTACAAAGAAAAAGTCAAAGTTACTTACTGCTGTAACGCTATGTAGAACTACTATATATGTGATGACCCAACTTAACCTCAAGTTGTTACAGCCAAGTGATGGGCTTATGGACAATTTTTATTTTATTATTTGGGCTTTTCTGAATTTCCCAATTTAAGAAAATGAACATGCGTTACAATTGTCATCATAGAAAAATACATATGTTAGAATAAAAATTAGATACTCTATTATGTCATCGCTGCTCTTGATACCTGATGAAATAATTTAATTTTTACCATATATGGTGCTTGGTATTTTGTCTTTCTTTTAACCCATTTGCTTTTGAGGGAAATTTTATAGGATTGCCACATGTAAAAGAAAATAATGAAAAATTCTTAACATGATTTGATATTACACTGTCTTTAAAAGCTTGAAAGCAGGAACAGTGACCCATAGACACAGCCAAATACTGGCGTAGAACCCCTTCACCGTCTGGCTGCTATATGTTTTATTTGCTACAGGACAAAAGGGTGAGAAGGGAATTATGATGGGAATGCTTCTGGGAAGCTTTACCTTCCTAGACACAAATCAGGGACCTTTTTCTTCCTCTGGACAGTGTCATCAGCAAACCACACCCTACAATACACCTGTCTGCTTTCCTAGATCCTATTAGCTCCTTTCTGGAGGATCACAGCAACTAACTGACTCCCGATTCCTCGAACTACCGGTTGTGACTTGTTAATGGGACATGAAATCCATTTTTGAAAATGAAACAGCTTGAGAAGTGTCAGAGTGCACCAAACAAAGGAACAGTAAGTATTGTTTTGTGAAATGTGTTTCAGTTTGTGTGTTCAGATCTGAGTACATTCTGGGCAACAGGTAAAATGTATTTCGTTAAAATATTTTGAGAAATACTTTAATTGGTCTCTCAGGGTCTGTCTTGTCTCTGCTTCCACACTGCTGTACACGCTTAAAGCAAGAGTGGAGAGTGGAAGATCCTGGACAGATCCTGTCACTCCTGCGGACGGGTCTGCCTTCAGGATAAGTGCTGACTCGAGGGCTTTAAAGATTCCAAAGAACTTGGTTCCCCACGCACCTTCGAGGTCTCAGAACTCTACATCCTCCTGCCCACTCTTACTTTTAGTTATTAAAACCATTAAGTTCCCTGGTCTTTGCAGATGGAATTTCCCCTTTAGGGACATGCTTTCCTCCTCTTTCCCCTTCAGGTATCGTAGGGGTCACCTCTGCCAGGATGACTTCTGGAATGTTCTAAATGACTCCCCCAGTTCTTATTAGAACACTGTACTTTTTATCTGACAAAGCACTTAGTACATTATAACTATCTTCTCAATTCCCTATTATTTAAGCTCCAAGTGGGCATTCAGTAAATATTGTGTAAATATTTGCATCGAATGTTTCACATAGCTCAACATTTCCTTTCTACATACCAATTTGAATAGTTTATTGTAAAGTATCATCTCCATTTTTCAAAGCTTTTGTGTTCATTTTTTTACACTTCAATATCTCCTGTTCATTTGCTTTTCAAACACTGATTAATGTGAAAATTAACTGGACTTTTGAAAATCAAAGTAATAAAATTTGGAGAAAACGGTTCAACTTTTGCCTGGTCATTCACCCTCCTGAAACTCAGATCCTCCACACATTAAAAGGAGGGACAGAATTCCGTAATCTGTGGTCTCTCTTCCAGTTTGCTACTCTGAACCTCCAGCTTCAACATTCTCCTTTTATGGACTAGAGAGGTTAAGTGATTTTTCCCAAGGCCAAACAACTTTTTTGTGGCAGAATATAGTTTGTCTTTCTGTAGAATTTTAACAGTAAGCAGCACACAAAAAACAAAAACTTTACCCGGCAATTAATAGTGCCACTAAGTTTGTATGAAAGAGAATCATAAAATTAAAGAAAAAAGGGACTTCAAGAAAAAAAAGCCATCTACAATGGATTCCTGCCTAAGCAGGTCTTAACATTTTTTAAAGTCTTGCTATTATTTTCTATTAGATGGAGAGATGTTCAGATTTCCTTCCTTAAATTGGAAGTGAAGAACTAGGAATTCTGTGCCCTGATCCTTTGTAGTGGGCATTCCACGGAGACACAGCAGACACACACAGCCTTCCTGAAGGTGCCAAGAGCATCCTACGGCCTTTCTTAGTGCTGAGGCCTTGGTGCCTTGACCCAAAAGCCACATCGCATCAGGATGAGATTTCATGTCAGTTCTGGCAACCCCTCCCCTCCTTCCCAGCCTGAGTCCCATTGAAGTCTCTACTTCTGCTCCACTTGCTTTATTTACTATGGAGTTTGGGTTTCAATAACCTGCTCTATAAATCAGAAAGTCAACGGAAATACACGCCCTTAGGGAAAAAAGAAACAACGACATTACTTGTATTTGTCCTAATGTGATATGCTGCACTCCTTGACCATCTAAGTCGGTGTGCCCATTGGTTGTTTTTTTCCCTCTAAACTGACCAGCAGCAGCTTTGTTTGACAGAAAATGATGGTAGGTAGACCTTGACTTTGAAATGCATTCTTACAAAGAAAAAGTCAAAGTTACTTACTGCTGTAACGCTATGTAGAACTACTATATATGTGATGACCCAACTTAACCTCAAGTTGTTACAGCCAAGTGATGGGCTTATGGACAATTTTTATTTTATTATTTGGGCTTTTCTGAATTTCCCAATTTAAGAAAATGAACATGCGTTACAATTGTCATCATAGAAAAATACATATGTTAGAATAAAAATTAGATACTCTATTATGTCATCGCTGCTCTTGATACCTGATGAAATAATTTAATTTTTACCATATATGGTGCTTGGTATTTTGTCTTTCTTTTAACCCATTTGCTTTTGAGGGAAATTTTATAGGATTGCCACATGTAAAAGAAAATAATGAAAAATTCTTAACATGATTTGATATTACACTGTCTTTAAAAGCTTGAAAGCAGGAACAGTGACCCATAGACACAGCCAAATACTGGCGTAGAACCCCTTCACCGTCTGGCTGCTATATGTTTTATTTGCTACAGGACAAAAGGGTGAGAAGGGAATTATGATGGGAATGCTTCTGGGAAGCTTTACCTTCCTAGACACAAATCAGGGACCTTTTTCTTCCTCTGGACAGTGTCATCAGCAAGCGGTACCTTGACCTGTGGCTGCCACCCGGGGCATCTGCTTGAGAAAAACCCGTGCTCAGCTTGACAGGTGGAAAGATGCCAAAAGCTGATTGGCTACATTCATGGGCTGCCCTAACTTTAGACTTGCGATTATTTGAGAAAATAAATGACTTTATCATTTAAGTCATCTTGACTTCATTTTTAAAAGTTTATTTGCTTACTTACTTGTTTTGGCTTGGCACTTCCAATCTTCCATGTGACTTCATAGATATGAAGTGCCCTTTGTTCCCTGGAAAACTATTTATTCATCAAGATACACTTCTTTTGTGTGCCATCAGTAAGTGGTCCTCTGCATCTTTACTATAGAACTCATCACACTTATTACGTGAAAGCAGAAGAAAACTAGCGATCAGAGAGATCGTTGGTAACTATTTACTTGTCAGATTAAATGATTCTACGTGGCAAATTCTACTACACAGGATATCACCAGACCATATTTTCTCTTTCAAAAAGATTCTCAGACTTGGTGGCCCAGCTTCTGCAGTGGTAAGATGGCCGCTGGAAAGGCAGCACCTTGAAGTCAGCCAGATGCCGTGCAAATCCTGACCTGCTGAGTACAGGCTGCATGGCCTTTATGATTCAACTCTCATCCCGTTTCTCATCTTTTGAGTCAGGGCAATGACACTGATAATGAGACGAATGAAGAAGCTGTTGGTGTGTAAGGTGACCCAGTGTGACACTTCTATCTGACAAAAGAAATAGGCACTTTTCATTTTCCCCCTCTTTCCTACATTATTTGATACAACAAAATTCAAATATTACAAAAACGATCTTGAGAACTCCTGGGGGAGTCTACCTGAGGGAGAAATTCTCTACTTTGCACATGTCTGGGTTTCTGCAGCGTGAGGAGCCTGGCACAAGGGTTGCAGGCGTGAGTCCCTATTT